AGCAACAACGACAACAACAATGAGGACCCGTCCTGGCCGTAAACATTTTCAATGACTATTTTTATTTTTGGTTTTAGTTTTTGCATTTTTCATACAGCCCCCCTCTCCTCTCGTTCTATCACTCTATCCCTCTCTCTCTCTCTCTAGCACCGATATATAACGTATACGTATATGCACATACATACGTACGAGTATACCCCACTGCCATTCGTGTTCGTGTTCGCCTTCCTTCCCATTTACAAACCAAATCACGCGACTCCGACTTGCCCCGCACAGATGTCTAAACCAGCAACAACAGCAACAACCACACCAACAGCCACACCAACAACCACACCAACAACTACACCAACAAATACAACCTATTCGGCTGGCGGTGTTCGTTGTTGTTTTTCTTGTTGCTAGCTAATTTTAAATGCGCTGATAAGTTGCACAAATATGCTGAGGATGTATTCTTTTTTAGTTGATTTGTATTTTAAATTTACTTTATTTTTATTTCTGTATTTTGTATTTTTTTGGGGTTGCAATGAATGGGCAGCAAGCAGCAGCAGCAGCAACAACAACAACCGGCAAAAACGCGTCACGCGACACGCGATTTGCGGGCGATTTTTGGGTTTTCTTCTTGTTTTGGTGGTCGTTTTCAGCGCAAAGACCGAAAAACGGCAAAAAAAAAAACAAAAAACAAAAATAAGAAATCAAATCAAATAAAAACTAGATGCTACCAAAAGATTTGCCCCATGTGCGACTATTAAAGGGTAAATTTAATTGTCGAGCTATGCAATTGCATGCCCAATTGCCAATGGTTCGGTTTGGCGGCAAAAATTGCCAGCAATTTTTATACGAAATACGAAATATTTGGTGTTGGCCGAAAGAGCCATCGAATATTATGCAGCTCATTATATTTGTTGGCTGTGGCTGTTGAAATGCTCATCAAAGGGTTTATTTTGCACATCTATGAAATGTTTTAACTATATACGAGTATTTGAGGTGCTTTGGTTTTTGTGTTTTCATTGAATGCATTTTCAGGCCTGTTTTCGTGTGTTGTTGACTTGTGATTGTTGAGTTGTTGAAACAGTCAACAATGTTGTTGATTAATTCAAAGGAGATTGCTTTCGCCTAAGCTCTTCTTCGAGTGTTGATGATTTCTTGTTGCACAGTTGTTGCACTAATCAACAGTTGATTATCTGTAGAGGTTTTTTTCAATAAACTAACCAGTTGATCGGCCATTCTTGTTGAACTTTCGGCCACAAGCGAACCCATTGAATTGAATGCCCCAATCCCCACCATAAAGCCATAACCATAGCAACATGGCAAATTGATGCTGGACCACTGATAGAACCTTCAGTGCGCTTTCAGAGACCGCCTATCAGCGATCCGCCATTTAGATGATGCGTGCGAATGCATCTCTCATTTAGAGAAAGGCCCGGCCCGGCCCGGCCCGAGATATGGTGGTTCCTTTGGAGATGGGGCTTATCGGGGGCTTTGCGCGGGGGGCGCTGATGTGGCGCTGATTGCGCCTTGATAATTAATGCGTGGCAAGAATGCGGCATGTGCTAATGAAAGGCATGGCAAATGCCACTGAGAGATGCAGATGGATGGCGCCCATAAAAAGGAGCCCGGCACAAATCTGTTATTAGCTGTCAACATTTCACCAACCGTCCCTCTGCCGTCCTCTGCCTGTCCCTTTCTCGCTGGCTATGCCTATCTCTTTTTAGGTTTCCTGTCATTTATTTCTATTTCGTCTTTTTTCCCTGCCTCAATCAAATTGCAACTTCATTCATTGGAACGGAAACGGCGTGGAGCCTACGGATTCGATTCAATGAGATCGTATCGTATCTATTTTGCCTACGCTCTTGGCCAAATTAATTTACGCCAGACACATAGGCTGATTTGGCTTTTTTCTGAGTTTTGTTTTTGGTGTGTGTGTGTTACTCTTGGTTTTTCCTACAAGTTGGCTCTTTTTTTCGGGGTGGGCGAAGCAGAGTTTTCTGCAATTTGACACCTTGTGGGCATTAAGTGCTTCCTCTGCCCACACGCTGCGGCGAAGCGTCTGTGTGGCAAATGCAACAAATTGGTTGCATTTCGCCTCGTGGCTGGAATGGGGATTGGGTTTGCAATCGGGCGCCGCGGGGATCGGGGATAAGAGGGATTGGTGGCATCGCAGCCATCCCGACCGGGCCAAGTCCCCCTCTTGGCCAACTGACATGCGACTGACAACGACGACGGTGGCTCATTTCGGGTGGCTGTCGCAGACGGCCCCAAACAAACGTCAGACAGTCTTTGGCTCTAGCTTTAACTTTGGCTGTGGCTGTGGCTGTGGCTGTGGCTGGAAAGCCCCCTGGAACACGCCCCTGGATCGCTCTTTCTTAACGTGTTTCGTGGCGACCCCCCCACTTGGCTATCTGCGCGCAGCTACTCTGGCTTAAGGTCCACTGAATGCGGTTAGATACTTCACAGTACAATAACCAGGCTAGTCGAATTCAAAGTTCTATTAAAGTAAGCAGTTAAATGAAATATGCTGTCGATGTATAAGAACAATCGTACGATAAACTGAATCTAGTACGAAAATATATTTCTGAACTGTTGGAGTTGCAAATACTAAAGTATCTGAGTATCTGAGTGCCAGAGTATCTGAAGCTTCGGTTTTGGCCAAGTAGCTCCTGCTTCTTCCATCTGCTTCGCGTTTCGTTTCGTTTTCCGCCGCTGATCATGATATGTTTGCCGAGATCCCCAAACGAAACGAAACGAAATGAACGGAACGATTTTTTGCCGTTGCCGGCGGCTTGTTGAGACCTCTACGTAGGCACATCTTGATCTTTTTTCGTTGCCTTTTTTCGGATTTTTTTTGTCGGTCGGTTTTGGTTTTTTTCTGTTTTTTTTTCTGTGTTTTTTTCGCTTTTTGCCTGGCTGTGTGAGTGTTGTGTTTTTACACGCATTCATTAAAAATAAGTTAACAACTTTTTAACACCTAACTGGGCGGCAGACAGTTGAATAAATGAATTATGCTGACGAATGGCGGCACCGTGGGTAGCAGATGGGAATGGTATATGGTCGGATATGGATGGAGCACGGTGGATGGAGCGCGCTGGATGGAGCGGAGCATGGCGAAGGGGTCGGTCAGCTTGTTAATCAGTTAAATTAAATGCGAAATGAACAAAACGAATTGGCTGGTAGTTAGCTGGCTCTGTCTGCGTGGTCTTTGACGTTTGATTAGCCACCAGTTGGGTTCCGAATCCAAAAAAAAAACAAAAAAAAAAAAAACTACAAAAAAGGGGATGGGGGAAAAACAGCGGACGCCCAAAAAAGAACTGTTTTGGTGTAGTTGTTGCTACTTTGCCCGTGCGTTGGCTTTTCATTCATTCATTCTTTAAAAATAAAAACGAGAGACGACGACTACGACGGCGGATAAGTGTGTCTGTTGGCTGGGAGGTTGGGGTTTGGGGTATGGGGGTACGGGGGCTTGCGGCCATATAACGACTAAATTATGCTAAGACTTTGTATAAACAGAGATCTCGGAAAGTGGGTGCCGAATTGGGTAGGATGCAAGCCAAGTTGCGCGTGGGCGTCAAAGTGTGCCATCTACGATTGCCCACGATCGTGGCCCGAACCAATTACCGAGCTTAACTCATTTTGCCGTTTCTGCATTATGAAAACGACCAACGATTTGGGCGAAACTTTGACGAACGGCTCTGGAGATTGGAAGATGAGGTTTGCAAAAGAATTTTTCCAGCTAGCTGGCTTAGTTTCCGTGTTATCTTAGTGGCAGATTAGCCTAGTATTCAGAGTTGTAAAACCATAGATCTGGCCGATTAACTTTAAGCGTTTCCGTTGTGCAAAATGCAGTTTCCATATTCGATATTCGTTCCGGTTCCGGCACGAATCCCGGGATCTACGGGGAATCAACTAAGCCCTAACATAACCTGTTAATCATCATTACTATCGAGCTGCAGTTTGTGTGTAAGCCGAGTAACGTTTCAAAGTCGCTGCAGCGTAAACCGCAATCTGTTTATAATTGAAAATGCAACAACGGCAGCGGACCAAGAAAGAAATAGTAAAAAAAAGGAAAAAACGACAACTTGGGAACATAATAGTATGCGATATATATGTATATATGCGATTTATATATGTATGTGTAGGGAGTATCGGGGGCCAAACAGGAAATGCAGCTAATCAAGCGTGTGAGTTGCAACAAATTGCAATTGGGTGCCGCTTTATAGGCTACATGGTCTACATAGGAACCCATTTGGGTATACCCATATCTTTTCGGTAAGCGGCTTACGGACACGGACACTGATACGGACACGAACACGAACACGGACGCCGACGCGTCTGCGCAGCGCAGGCAGCGAGCGGAAGGGAATTCCCGCTTTCCGGATTAAGACTGGGCACAATAAAAAGAGGGAGTGCTGATGTGTGGTGTGCTGTGCCGTCGGGAATATCCCATGTCCCGAAAACCCCGGCGGGATTAGAGGTGCGAGCAGGTCCCGCCTCGACACCGGCTGGAATTCTACCTGCCTTACGGGGATTTCCCCGCACCAGATAGCCATATATCCATATATCCATATAGCCATTTAGCCATATAGACGACACGGCGTATGCGCAATGGCATTGGAAACTTATGCAATCGCGGCGGAGGTAGAAATGCCAAATGCACCAGGCTATCACTAAGTGAATACCCCTTTAACTACAGATTCTGCCATTAGTTTTAGATTTGTTAGCGCTTTGAAGATATTGGATTGGTAGTAGTTGATATGTTTTGAATTGATCTCCTGCCTAAATGTTCCAGGATATAATAAATTAGAAATTCTAGCTCATAATATGAGTTGCTATCTGTTAAAAGGGAATATTATATCAGACTTTGCCCCATCTTCGATAAATAGAATCCCAACTATTTGAGCAACCGGCGCTGTTTCTGTTTGCTCACCGGCTAATGGGCAAAACGACGGAGGTGACATATGATATGATAGAGATATGGTAGTTGGGAATAGTTGGAGGTGACTTACCCGCTGGTCGGTTGGACCGCCTGCCCGTGTCGGACTCCTCGAACATGAGCGGCGCATGCCGGCGGCCCTCCGTCACGCCCGCGAAGCAGACGATCAGCAGTCCGGCGATGATGAGCAGGTGGCTCAGGTGGCTCAGTCGTCTCAGTTGGCTCAGTTGGCTCAGGCGGCGCAGGATGGGGGGCTGTTCCCTGGCTGTGGGTACTCTGTGGCTGGTTCTGCTCGCTTGGGGCTCCATTTCCTCGTCCGCGTCCGCGTCCTCGCTGTGGCAGCAGCTCCTTTCCAGGAGCGGTACTGTGCCGGTGGCCGTGGCCCATTCGATGCCGGTCGATTTCCTCAGCTTGTTGGCCATATTTATGGTGTGTTTTGTATTAAGATGTTTGTGGTAGATGCTTTGATTTGTAGTATGTACTTTTAAACGACCGGCTTGTAAAAAGCACGTTTCACACAGTATGAACAACAAAAAAAAATATATATATAAAAACAAAGGTCGCCACGCACACACTGGCACACACAATGGATATAGATATATCAGGTGTATAGATATAGTATAGAACCGATTCTATACCCGATTCTTGTACTTCTCTTGCAGATTAGATAACACACACGCGAGTTTCGCGCGCCGATTTATTGGATTTATTCTATTTGGCTGTTTGTATACCTCATTTATTTTTTATACTATTTGATTCGCTGTTTTAGTTGTTTAGTTGTTTTGTTGTTTGGTTTCTTGTGTTTTTTGTGTTTTGTTTTTACTTAGCGGCTGCATAAATTTGCGCTTTTCGTTTTCAGTTTCGAGACTTGTTTTCCTTAGTTAGATGTATAGTTATGGTTATATAGCCATAGTACTCTATGGTGTAGCACTGGTGTGTTGCTTGCTCTGGAAAATAGAGTCGATCTCGTATGGGGGATTACGACAACGCGAGTATTTTGGCGTTTCGCTATATGCGTTCTGCGTTCTCGGCGACTTTTTATCTACTAGATAGCTGGCGGTGCGAGCCGCCGTGTATATGGCGATCGGATCGGATCGGATCGGGAGTGGGATTTGAATTTGATTTTGTATCGGATCGGATCGTATCGGATCGTAGAGCTCTCTCTCTTTGAATTTTCTGTTTGGTGTTTTTTCTGTGCTCTCCGTGTTCGTGTTGTGCGGCTGCGAACGCTTCGTAAAATAATGTCCACACCAACAACGCGGTTGAATAAATAAACTACCAAAGCCAACGACGTCTGCGTCGACGTCGGCGGCGACCGCGACAGCGAGGCAGGCAGAGCGCGCTCTCTCTCTCACACACACACACGCGATCGGGATCGGCTTGGCTTCGGGTGCGCGCTCGTGTTTGTTTTTCGCCTGCACTTTTCGCAACTGCAGGGCAGGTGTGTGAGTGGTGTGCCTGTGTGTATGTGTGCGCGCTTGCGAGTGTGCGAGTCGCGTGTCGAGAAGAGATGCTTTTGCTTTTGCAAGTTGAATGAGCGGCGAGCTGCGCGGCCGGCGTCGCTGTCGCTGTCGCGGCCGGCGCAAGTGCAGCAACTGCAACTGCAACTGCAGCTGCGCGTGCGCAACGCTGGTTGTGCAAATTTCGCTGCCGACGTCGCAGCGGGGGCGTGAGCAGCGCAGCTGCGTGCTGGCCAGCGCATCCCTACCGCCCTCCCTCTCACACTCTTCCCCCTCTTTCGCAACCGGCCCTTTTGGCCAATCAAAAAATGCACACCAACCATTTTATCAAATTTCGAAACTCGGAATGGAAACCCCTCATATCAGATCCTTTTCAGGAGTTTATTTTCGAAATGCCTTCGGATTTGCTGAACTCAGCCTTGCGTGCTTGCAATCCTGACAATTTTTACATTTAATAGCAGATTAATCGTACTATTATAAAATTAACAAAGTATTCCAAAATAAAAACTTAAAAGCGTTATCTGCAAAGGCGTTATTTAATATAGGTCTAAGCTATAGTACGTTTTAGTACCAAAATAAAATAAACTATTGACGATTGTAAAGTTCCTCAAAAAAAAGTGTCAAGAGCGATCGTTTCGAGGAGAGTCGACTGACAGTCAACAAAACGAAACCGGCCTCCAAAAATAAGATTGATTAAATGAGAAGGAATTTGCGTGCCATTCTGCGAATTTTCGCATTTGGCCTTGCCGCAAAAGGCTCTTCAGTTGGCCAAATCGGCGCAGCGGCGAGTCCCTTTATGGCCGAAACATTCCACATACGAGTATGTGGAATCATCGCACTGAACGCTCAGATATTATAAGTGTCCACACATAAATATAAAGCAGGCGGCACGTGTGAGAGCAATTAAAACCCAGAAAAGGACGGATCAGTGGCGAACGAGGCGAAAAAAATGAAGCATCGTCAACTATATATTAAGTATTGCTAATAAATAATGCGGACGAATATGACAAGCTGAAATATTCGAATTGGAGCTGCCGCCGACCCAAAACAACCATATATATGGACAAACATACATACATACGTATTATGTGGTATGTGACAAAATTTCTGCGGTTTTGCAAGGGGATTTCGTTAATTAATTGGTTTGCTTTCCGTTCCGTTCCATTTCACTTTGATTTGTTTCTGTATTTTATTTTGGACTTCAGTTTCGATTTTATTACCGTGCCGCCAATAACATCTCGCGATATCGTTAACAATCATTTGTGTCACATTTTAAGTATAAATAAAACATATTAAAATAGTTTTCGGCTTAGTAAAAGCCAACCGAATCGAATAGAGCAACCAAGAATGCGAGGCATATGAAATAATATCCACGAGAATAGACGGCATCAACAAAAGAAAAGCCAACAACACGCTTTGGCTTTCAACCGCATTTTCCACTTATCTCATATTTGATATAACATACTCATCAGGTCCAGGGTTCCCTAAATCTCTCGGCTGATCTCTAATTTAGCAGGGAAATTAAAATAACCATCTAAATTGGCTGCTCTGCTATATTTAACCAGATCGTAATGCTATAATCTCTGCCTCTATTCACAACTTTTAATAAATTTAAATAAATGGAAAAGTTCAGGTAAACAGTGGGTGTGCGTGTTTGTCTTTCCCATTTAATTGTATAGAAATATTTATTTTTGATTGTGATGTGTTTTCACGTTGTTCACATTGGGAAACATCAAAGAAAGTCGACTAATGCCAAAGGACTTTTAGTTTTTCGACGGACTCGACTGTTTGAAAATTAAAACAATGCATTTGCTGCTTCCACATATGTTTATAAACAAATCAAATTGAAACTAGTTTGCAATATTTTAAAACAATTTCTTTGCCCCACCTCAGCACCATTTAAGTGGTCATAAGTGGCCCCTGCCGAATGCCTTATATTTTTGCCAGCAATTTACAGGGTATCTCGCCTGCTCTACTACCAACTAGATTCCCTTCAGCTTTATTTATGTTTGGCTTTTTTGTCGCTTTTCCTTTTGTCAGCCTCATTTGAGGCGTCGTCGTCTGCAATTCGAAATATTCCTATAAATGTTTTGGCCTCACGGCCCCGCCGCAAACAAATAAAAACCAAAAGCCTGCAGATGTATATGTACAGATGTATGTATGTAGGTACGCGTACATCCAGTGTATGTATGTGTCTCTTGTCTATATAGAAAAAAAATGTTAAATGTCTGAAACATGCGTACAAAATGCCATTGCAACAGCAACAACGATAGCAATCAACAATCGCCAAGAAAAGCAAAGAGAAAAACGACTGCGAGAAATATAAATGAACCAAATAACAAAAGCAAAATTCAGCTAGACGATCAGAAAACAGAAAACAGAAAAATGCTTTTCCTTTGATTTATGTAGTTTTAGCTAGCTCTGTCGACGTCGGCGTCGACGCCAGCGCCAGCGTCGCCAGCATAGCAGCATCATGACACACAGCATATCTATGTACATACACATGTACATACCTGTATGTACATATGTCCATGCAGCCATATAGCATATATAGCATATAGTGTATCTGAACAATCTGTGCACAGTCAGTCAGTCAGGCGGTGGAAAAAACACTTTCCTTTGGGGAAAAGTGTGTGCTTTGTTTTCCGGCCAAGTTGTACTTTGAACGGTCCAAAGGAAAATCGGGAGGTCATGGTGGATCACCAAAACGTATTTGCAACAAAGCGGTAGAGAATGCGTGAAGCCCTTAAAAACATCGAAAAAATATGGAAAGTAACTAAGTGATTCTCTATTTCTTGCAAATAATAATAAATCCTTCTTTACCGATCGCATATTTTAGTTAAGATAAGAGTTTGCAAGTAATTGCACCTAATATTTAATTTGATCATATTGAGATATTGGTAGCGCTTTGAAAACTTCTCTCTTATTTAATTATCAAACCGTATTGTTTTATATTTTCATGACAAGCTTTATTTCCCATTCCCAATCGAGTTTCATTGGAAATTAATATTACGGCAATCGCCTTCCAGTCAATTGCGAGCCCATATATGTATATATGTATCTATATTTATTATGTAGTAGTTTCTTATCAGTCGATTGCAGAGCGGTTATGTCAGTGATCCGTCGGGTGTTCAGGTTTTGTTTACAGCCCCACATTGTGGCCTATATCGGGCAGACAACTTTGTTCTGTGGGGGCTGACGAACTGACTAGCCAACTTAGCGACTAACTGGCCAACTGACCAACTGATCAACTGACTGAGTGACTGAGTGACTAGCTGATAAACTGAATTTTCCATTGCCTTAGCTGGCAGTTGGCAGTTCGATACTCGATCGCCTCCCGCTCGGACCACATTGCGCATACGCCGCGTAATCCGATAGAACAGTAGCCGCTGTGCGAGTGCCGCTGAGTGTGAAACTCTTTGACAATGCCCGTCAAGGTGTCAAAGCTTCAAACCGCATTCAGCCAGCGAAGACTACGTAAATCAAGACGTTAGTTCATAAATTCGATTCTCAGTGTGCGCATCTGTATGTGCGCATCTGTATGTGCGTGTGTGTATCTGTGTTTGTAAATTATTTAATAGCTTGATTGACAACCGTGAGCTAAGTCGATATCCGACCATAAGGTCTCAGCTTTTCGATGCTTTCGGCTGGCGATGCTTGCGATGCCTCGGCGAGATCTTGCGGTAGGCCCGATTGTTTGCTGTTCCGAGACGTTTGTAACTGTCAATCATAAATTGGATGCCAATCAAAGCAAATCACAACACAACACAGCAACATCAGCGGCACAACAACAACAACATCGCCACCAGCGCAAAATTGCCTGCATTCATTTAAATGGCAAATAGCAAATGGCAAATGGCGAACGCACACAGAAAGACATCAAATGAAACAGAAGCGGCGAAGTGACGGCTTTTGACTGCATAACAGCCCACAAAGTATGCACACACTGAGCGAAAATTCCTTTTCAATTTCGACAAACAGCTCGGAGACTTTACAGTTCGTCATTAGTAATACTGCTAGCCAACAGCTAAAAATAATTTTTAACAAGCTTCGAAAAGTATTATTGCAGTGTAATTTAAGAAAATTTTATAGTATTTAGTAAAACATTTATTTAATGTGGTACAAATTGAGAAATATATAGTAAATATTTGTATTTTCCATGAAATGTGCGGCGGACTTTTTTAGCAGACTTTAAATTTGTTTAAGTGCACTACATAAAAATGCACTTATGCGTGTGTGATTGAGTACTATTCTACTGCAGTCACATGCAATTGATTTGATGGTCATCGGTGCCAGGAGGTCCAATCATTTGAGACATCTATTTGGACCAGTTAGAAACAATGGAAGAATCAAGAGTGGATGGATGAAAATGGGACCAAGTTCTAAGTTCCAAGTTCACACGTTTGATGAATGACCCCCTCTTAGTTAAAAAACTATCTAGTTCAGGCTTCTGAGAATCATTAAATTGGATAGAGGATTTCCAGGAAATGGTGTGTGATTCGATTGAGTCATTTTCCAGAGGTTTCAGCGCGTGAAATGATTACGGACCTCAGGAAGACCGTAGATGAAATTCCATTATTTATAAGCTGACTAACCCCCCATACAAAGTGCCACCCTAGCAACAGAGATTCGGGTAGCTCCTTCTCCCTTCGACAGTCTACCTCTCCCACTCGCACCCTTTCTTTTTTCTGTTTCCGTGCGAGAGCAGGCCAAAAATATCACGTATACGTCATGTGTGCGCGTCGCGCAGGGCAAAAGCAACGTGAATGTTTTGTTTGCCAGAACAAAACAGCAAGTAAAGTGGCAGTAAAACCGCAGTTAGCCAGCTGGCCAACATCGTTAA